TTGGGAGATCTAGATGTATCTGGTCTTGTAACGAGGGAGAAATGTTAGAGATGTACTGACTATTCCTATTTTTTATGTTGTTAAAGAGGAAGGTATTATCATAGTTGTCATCAGAACAAATGGTTTGGTAGGATGCTCCGAGAAGGTTGGCTACATTATTTGGTTTAGTGTGTAATGTATTTTCAAGGATTAGATGTGTGTGTTTTTCTCTGCTACGTCCACATAGAGATCTAACTTTACTCCAGATTATGCTTGTGTCGGTTCTGGGTGTAATGCTTGACGTAAATGTTTTCCATGATTTCTCTTTACTAATTTTAACAAGATATTTGGTCTTCGCCCTTAGTTGCTTTAGTTTTATGTGGTCTTCAGTTTTCCCCGAGTTTTGGAAGGTTTTTAGAGCTTTATTTTTTTTTTGATTGTTTCTTTTATCTCGGAGTTCCACGAGGGGACATTAGGTTTTGATGTTGAACTTTTGGTTTTGCCTTTTGATAGATTGGCAGCATTGATTATTGTTTCAGTTATGTGAGTGACATCGGAATCAATTGGGCAGTCCCTTGGAGGAAGGTTTGTAGATAGATTATTTTCAATTAGTTGTGTGAAGAGACTCCAGTTGGGGTTTTTGACTTTCCATTTGGGAGGGTTTTTACAGGGGGATGTTTTGTGTGTTAGTAGTTCCATTTTTATGGGAATGTGGTCACTGTCGTATATCTCGGCTAAGGTTGTCCATGAGATTCGCTGAGCTAGTGATTTACTTGAAAGAGATAGATCAATAGTTGAAAAATGGCCGGGTTGAGTCTAGTGTGTTCTCCATTGTTGAGTAGGACCATATTCTCATTCTCTAGGTTTTTATTGATTTCTTTACCTATGGGGTCGGTTCTTTCGGATCCCCAGTTTTCACTATGACTATTGAAGTCTCCAAAGAGTATGTAAGGGTGAGGTAGTTGACGAATTAAATTTTCTATATCTGAGGACGAGAATGGTTTTTGATTGGGGATATACAGGTTAAAGATAGTGATGTTGGATTCAAGTTGAATGGTTATAGCAATTGCTTCGAAATGAGATTGTAATGGAACTTGAGTATTAGGGTAGTCAGAGCGAGCAAAAATGGCCACTCCACCACTAGCTCTATCGCATATTGTCCGGTTTGAGTAGTAAACATTATAATTTTTCATTGATGGAATATAATTATCTTTGAGGTTGGTTTCTTGAAGACAGAGAAGTATAGGATTATATTTGTGGTTTAGTATTTGGATGTTGCTTAGTTTTTTAACTAGACCGCTTATGTTCCATTGTATAATATTTAAAGACATGTTGAATTAGAAAAAGAAACAGAAGAAAAAAAAAAGGATTATTATTTACAAGTATATTTGATAGTATAGAGACATGGAATTGTTATTGTTGATCTGATTTGGTTAATTTTGGGGGAAGTGTTTTGAACAATAAGTTAGATGCTGAAGTAGGTCTGGACTTCATTGTACGATCTGTGATTAGTGGACGTATTTTTTCAACTAAATCTAACATTTCAGAGATATTGGAACTAATCTCGTTGCATAGTGTGTGGATGTTAATATTGGGGTTTTTGAAATTCTCCATAAAATATTTAAATTGGTCCAGTGTAACTGAGGAGTTCTCGCAATTGGCAAAAAATGCAACTGCTGGCTTTAGCATGGAGTCCTATTAGTTATCTTCAGTCGAGGTTAGTGAGTTGGATCTGGATCGGATTTTTGCTTCTTTTTTTTGTCGGGTTGATTGAGAGGCGTTTGGATACCTGGTGCTATGGGGGAAGAAGGAGATTTTGGTGTGTTAGTATCAGAGGTCTTTTGAAGTAGGCGTTGGTTGATGTTTCCATTGATTCTTGAGTTGTTATGTTGATTGTGCTGAGTAGAGGTGAAGGTAGGTTTTCATCATGTTTTTCCTCATTCCAGTCAATGATGTTTTGTAGAGGGGTACAGTGGGGGAGAGTTCGGGGAGCTGTCTATTTTCTAAAACTTCTACAGGGTGATCATAATTGGTTTTGATTATGTTGAGTGAGGTTTGAGAATTATTGCTGATATGTTTATCTGGCATGCATCTTTACATGATGCCGATGTGTGTCCTACTGCCTTGCATAAGAAACACGTTATTCTGTCATCAGTAAAAAAAATTCTAAACTAAGTTTGATTAAAGTTGATAACTAACGATCCTGGTAGTTTTGTGATGTCTTCTTGATTGATGAACATTTGACATTAGATGAAATAGAAGACCATGGGCGTAATAGGGCTTTTACTCTCCAATCTCCATAAATCTGTTTTAAGAGACAAATGTAATCCGTTCGATTTAAGTGACTTTAATTTTAAAAAACTATATAGGCTTACAAAAAACGACGTTTTAATGTTAATTCAGCACCTTAAGCCAAACCTAACTAAAATTAGGAAAAATGGTTTAAGTGTTGAAGTTCAAGTAAGTTTAAATCTTTACTATATCTATACGCTTACTTATATTAATTTGTTACGACTTACAAATTATAATATATATAGGTAATTAAATATGTGTCATAAACTATAGTTTACATCTTAAATATATTATTGAATTTAGGTATTTGTCACGATCCAGTTTTTAGGAACCGGTGCATATCAGAGAGGAATTGGTAATGATTGTTTGTACCTAGTTAGTCAGCCGAGTGTAAGTAGGTGCATTACTAAAATAACTGCTGAAATAGTCAGAATCTTTGCCGCAGACCAAATACGCTTCCCCTGAAATCGATTAGAGAGGAAAAAAATATCGGATGAGTAATTATTATTATTGATTCTATTTTTATTATATAATAAAATATACCTAGTATATACTTACTGATTATTATCTAATATCGCCTTTACCATTTTTTTTTCTGAAAACATATTCTTACTAACTATCCGTAATATACATCGTAACACGATTAAAGTTTAAACTCACCCATATTTATTAATGTTATATGTTCGTAGTTCATTTTCTATGCACACACTTCAAGTCATTTTAATGTCATCATGTTATATTACCATGCCTATATTAATATCCCTAAAACACGACCGATTTTAGCCCCTCCCCCCTAACATAATTTTTCTTTATCTGATTTTCCGTTAAATAAATAAAGACGGTAAATGAGTCCTAAATTTTAAATAATGTGATAAAATATTTATTAAAGATTTGAACAGTTTAGCCGCTACCCTGGAATTTTAGGGTGTATAGATTGCACACAAATTGCAGTTGTAACCCCTAAGGAGCCTGAAGAAGCATGCAACAATTTTAAAGGCTTCAATTCGTTAAATTTTCAGATGGTAAAATATAATAATTATAGTAATATGTAGTTAGATAGGTACTTACTTTATACTTATTAATATGGTACGAATTAAACAAATTAAATAATTCCTCCATTTAAAACATACATTTTATACATTCCTATAACCTCCAATGTTTATTAATAGTTTTAACATTTAATAAATGAATAGGTATGTGATGCAAATTTGCGTATCACTAATGTGTATGCTGATTTCCCTGGTAGTGTCCACGACCAATTTATTTTTGGAACAAGTGCAGTTAAACGAGAAATGGACCATGCAAATAACTTTGGTCAGTTTTACCATCACGGGGATTCAGGATATACGCCTCAATCATACATGCTAACGCCCGTGTTAAATGCTCCAGAAAATACACCAGAGTATCGTTACACTCAAAACCACTGTTTTGTTCGTAATACAATTGAAAGGGTTTTTGGTGTATTAAGATGTAGATGGGGATGTCTGCGTAAAGATCGCGTTCTTCACTATCAACCAATACAGGCAGCTACAATCATAAAGACTTGTGCTATACTACATAATATTGCTATGAATAAGTATGTATAGGTGTCTAACCTAATATTCAAGCACTATATAATGTCAGTTTTATTTAATCATATTTCAGTTTAGAAATGAGAACATGATAGTAAATAATAATGTAATTGAACCCAACAACATTGAAGGAGACATACAAGGAAATATTAATGGTAGAAGAATGAGGGATCAAATAATTCAATAATATTTTCAAATTTAATCATATATTTTTATCTAAATATTTATATAATTACATATCTATTATCTATACCCTCTCCGGTGAAACACGATTGCGTACGGTCTTTATCGACATACGCAATCGTGAACATTTAGGCCAAGCGCACACGGCGCAACTGGTTTGGGACAAAAGTTGCACTCGCAACTGTTTTGTGACGTTGGTATCGTATAGCTGTGGCGTCCGCACACGAAGCGATAAAACTATAATTAGTTTGCTATCAGTTTACAATCGGTTGTACACAATCTTTCCCGCGGTTGCAGTTGCGTTGTTGTTATAATTAATCACGTGTAGACGTGTTGTATTCGTGCTAATATAATATATTCAATCTGTTTTTTTTGCGATTTCTGAAAATAAGTGACCAGGAACTTAACTTAAAGTTCGTCAAAGAGGTTGAGAAGCATGAAGAGCTCTATAATTATAAAATTCCTGCGTATTCCAGGAAAGATTTGACGGAAAAAGCATGGCAAGATGTGGCTGCCCAAGTTAATATGCCAGGTAGGTTTGAAAAGTTCAGTAATTTATTACTAATTAAAATGTTTTGTATTTGTATTTTGTAAACGTAGAGAAAATTTGTATTAAATTGTACAAATTGTGAAATGTAAAATCATTGTACAAATCACAAAATTTAAAAACATATTATAAGTTAATGCAATTTTTTAACTCAGTTAAGTTAAGTTAATTTTTTTTTAAATTTAATTAAAAGTTAAGTTAATAGACTTTTTAATAAATCAATTAAGCTTAAGTTAAAAATAAAAATAAAAAAAGGTGGGTAAGTGGATGTCGCTCTGCTGTACAGTAGGTTACAAGTGGGTCACTGTATAATGGATGCTATTAAATTTGAATTCAATGATACAATATCATTGTATAAGAAAAACGATTCTGAGCGAAGATGGTATGTCAGTCTAGGTTTAAGACATATTATATACATATCTATGGTATTAAAAAAAATAATTCCTCAAAGTAGTCGCTGAAGAACCCTCGTGTATAGACATATCTCGTACTCGTATGTTGGTTGGTACTTCCGCGGTCTCGTCCATTTGTGCTGTGTCGTGGGGTCTGTACTCAATTCCTTCTCGTTTCCGTACGAAATTGTGAAGGATGCAGGCAGATTTTATTATATCATTCACTGTTGTTGGATCACGACATCGTATGGGCCCATTCAACACCGCAAACTTTTCTGCTGCCATACCAAACACACATTCAATAGATTTTCTTCCACGGCTCAATCTATAATTAAATATTCTCTTCGTATTATCAAGGGTTCTACTTGAATAGGGTCTCAATAAGTTTCGAGACAGTGGAAACGCTTCATCTCCGACAAAGTAGTAAGGAAATGGAGTGTTACTTTCATCATGTCGTAATGAGGAGGGTGAGGGGATGTTAAAACCCCCATGGGTCATCTAGTAGTTCATTGCACATGCTTTAAGAATTCCTCCGTCACTGTTACGTACAGCAAAACCCGGCTCAATGATGGTGAAAAGGCCATCTGCGTCACAGCATGCCATAAGTACTGTAGAGTGAAAATGTTTATAATTAAAAATTTCAGAACCTGTGTGTGGAAATTTCTCAATTCGAATGTGCTTCCCGTCCAAGGCACCAATGCAATTGGGAAGGTTCCATAGTAGCTCAAAACGATCAGCATACAGGCTATAGATTAGCATACTAGGTACACTGTACAGGCATATGAATATCTTTCAGTACATTCCAGATGATCTCTGTAGTTTCCCTGATAATCTTTCTGACTGTGCTTTCACCTCTGGCAAAATATAACGAAAGCGCAACAAATGTTCCTCCAGTAGCCAAATACCGGTAATAATACGAATTTAAATATCAGGTTCTACAACTTTATCGATGATAAATATTTATTTATTTTCCTATATATCATAATATATTATATCGTAGGCCATATGGAAAATTATATTTGGTATCACCTATACATGGTATAACTTTTGAAAGATTAGGAGGTTAAAACTAAAACTAAAACCAAACATTTTTCGAGCGTCTAAATTTTAAATTTGTACGATACTAAAAATTTAAAAATTTAAAAATTCACACGTAAGGTTAGGTTATACAGTATAGGTTATTCAGTCTTTCTCAAACTTTTTACTGTGGCGACCCCCTTTTTAAATTTCAATTTTTTAGCGACCCCTACATATATATTTTTTACATACTTGTATGATTTAAATAATTTGATTGCGACCCTAAATAATAAGTTGGCGACCCCCAAAAGGGTCGCGACCCCAGGTTGAGAAACACTGGGTTATATTATATATTATAGTGACCTATTCTATGACCGGGGTCCACTTCACCCCAACTGTACAGCAGAGCGAGTTTCTGCTTTTTTTTTTTTTATTTCAGCTGCTGAATGCAAAGAGAAGTGTAGAAATCTACGTACAGTTTATGAAACCGCCACCAAGTGGAGCTGGAGCAAAAAAAAAGGCATGCTATTTGGAAAACGCCATGCATTTTTGTTTGCCTTTTATAAAAACATCCGCTCCTCCATCAACCGGAAATTTGCCACCAGTACCTCTCAACTCACCTGGTGAAGTTGTAGAAAACACAGAAATATTTGAGGATAGTGCATCTCAAATGGATTTGTCGCAAGAATTTGTACCTACACAAACATTATTCCCTGACTCTCCAGTAATGTCACCGTTTCAACTTAGTAATTCAACCGAGAATTTAACACCATCTCAACAAACAATTGATCCACCGGTACAGTTATCATCGTCCACTCAAGCCAGTAAAAAATGTACTTTGAAAAAAAAAACATCAGCAGCAGACGCAGATCGTTCTATAACTGAATATTTTAATGCCAAGCGAGCAAGGTTGCAGATAAATGAAGCAGAGAATAGCTCTCAAAAAATTGATAGACAACAAGGTATCAAAATGTTTCTACTCAGTCTAATACCAGAATTGGAAGATTTAAGTGATTCTCAAATCAAATTATTCAAACGACGAGTTTTTAACATTATTGACGATATATCAACTCCGCTGCAGTACCAGCCACAGGTATCAACTTTCCAAACAATGATCCCATCGGTGCCTGATTCCTCTCAAATGTCTCACATGTCACCAACAACAGATTTTTACAATGATTTTTCACAGAGTCTACATGATTCAGACAGTATATAAATTGTATTTCAAAAAAAAATTGTTTCTCTAACAACAGATTGTATATTAATTGTACATTAATATATTTTTTATATTGTATATTAATTGTATATTTAAATAAAACTGATTTGATAACTTATTTTTTTTATATCTTATAATTTGAAATATTTTGTAGAATAAAATTAAAAATAAACTTACCGCAATGTGATCAATATTCGTTCAGCGGCAGGCACACATTCCTTCATATTTGTGTTCATTTTCTCCAAGAAAGGGCCAACCATCCTTGATAATTCCTGATAAGTTTCTTTCGACATTCTGTAGAAAGCAATACATTTTCTATCCGTCTGAGATAGTTCTTGTGCTGCAACAAATAGCCTTAAGTTTGCATTTTCTTTTATGTATGGATGTACCCAATGTTCCCTCTGTATTCTCCATAGCTTACGGTATTGATAATAATCAATGATGTCTTCTTCATCTGAATCTGAATTCGACATAGCAAAAAACGGAGAAATCAACAGCACTGCTCAAATAGATTAACACCAACTGATCTAAAATCAGTCATGTCCTTGTGCGGACACCAGTTTCGAAATGGTTTCAAACTGGTTGTAAACTGAACTGATTTGCAACTTTTGTCCCAAAACAGTTGCACCGTGTGCGCTTGGCTTTAATGTTTACGGTTGCGTACGATTTTTATCTGCAACTTTGAAGCACTGTTGCCATTTGCTTTGAACTAATAGAACATACAATTTAAAATTAATTGAGAGGCGATAAGTGATATTTGATAGGCGATAACGAAATCGGGTATTTTACTAGGATATTTTAGGATACTCGCAATTGATCAAATATGTATACTGCAGTATACCTATCGTTTAATAAACGAAGTCAGTGAAGAACCGTCATTGGATTATCAACCTCCTAGCGTGTTTCATGTTTTTCGAGTGAAATATGGAAAATAAAGTTGATTTTATAACTTCTGAAAAGGGTAAACCACTAGTTTTACTAAATCTGCATAAATATCGGTTTATTAGGGAAAGAAAAGACGGAACTAAAGAATGGCTATGTACAAAAAAATCATGTTATGCTAGCATTTTGACAAAATGAGAGTATTTTTAGAGTATGTCCATGAAACAATTAATGAACACCACCACTCTTAAAATTCACAACAGAGCATTGAACGACAAGTACTACGAGAAGCTTGTAAAAGAAAATCAAATTATACTATTTGTGTCAGACCCATAAAAATAATTAGAAACGAATTTATAGGGAGCAATCACTCTGAAATCGAGCACAGAGATGTACGGTCGATTCGAAAAGCAATGTACGATAAACGTCGAAAAAATTATCCCGCTTTTCCAAAATCACTAAGGGAGTCAATTGAACAACTTAAAGATTAACAATGGAAGATGACGATATAATACAATTTCAAGGTAAACAATTTGTTTTTATTCCCGAGAATAAACTGTTTGTTTGTGTTACTACAGAACAAAATCTTACTTTTATGACAAGTACAAGTGAATTTTTCGCTGACGGTACTTTAAATTATGCACCAAAATTTTTTGCCCAACTTTATACAATCAATTGTTTTAAAAATGGGTTTTATGTGCCAGTGGCATACTTTTTATTACCAAATAAATCAAAGCAAATTTACGCAGACATGTGGTTGTTTTTACAAGAACTATGCGAACAAATTATTTTTAAAAAATTATTGGTTCTTAAACTACATTTGGATTTTGACCCTCGGGTCTCACGCGGTGTGGCTCACAGGTCATGAGGAAAGTGTTCCCCTTTCCTCATGGGTGGTTTTGGTGACGTAAAAAATCACGAACTCTCACACTATCTAGACAACCTCATGGGCTTTTTATTATATTTTAATTTTAAAGAGAGCTATGAGTATTTTAAAATTGTAAATTGTTTGTACATCTTAAAATACTCATAACTCGCATAAAAATTAAAATACAATAAAAAGCTCATGAGGTTGTAATAATCTTACCTTTAGATTTTATAAGAGGTCAATTTACTCTAATTATTAAATTGACGGAGCTACACGTGTTTTGCTGAATAAAATAATAAAATGTGCTATATTATGCACTTGTGAGACAGAGAAAACACATTCGGGTATAACGTCCTCTTAACTAATATTTAGCAAATAATCTTAAAAATTACAAGTAAAAACCAACAGATTTATATAAAGGTATAAAGCAGTAAAAATAAATATTAAAATTTAGCAAAGAATCACAAGAAAAAACAAACACATATTGTTGAGCAGTTAAAGTTTAAATTATAAAGCAAAGCAATGGATCTTGATATTATATTGAAGTAAAATGTTTTTGTTAATTATAATAATTAATAAGCTTAAGTATATAAAAAAACATAAACCAATAAAAAAAAAAATAAATAATAATAATAATAATTAATATATTTATTATTATTTATTAGCATGCAAATTAGAAGCCAGTCATAACGAATTTAAAGCTTTGGCTACATTTTCTAAATTGCTATTCATTTTATTTATAGCATTCACAATAGAGCCCATTTGTATTGTATTTTCTCTAATTGCATCAGTCATATTCTAAAAAAAAATTAAATTAGAATATTATTAAAAAGCATGCAGGTTTCCCAGGGGTTAATAGGGGGACACAGGAGGACTCAGTCCCCCTATCTCTGACGGCGGTTAAAAAGCATCCCCTTTAGCAAATTAGTATTTTATACATTAGACATTATATATGGAATGCTTAAAACTGTATGGTCCCCTCTGGAATTTTTTCCCACTTCAACCCCTGAGTTTTTCATGAAAACAATATGAAACATACGTTATGTAGGGGAAAGGTGTCCAAAGCGGCCACCCTAAGGTTCAACACAGTGTCACACTTTCGGATTTAATTTTTTTTTATGAAACCTTCAAGATTGTCTAGTTGAACTTGTCAGGAATTATAATTTTCAATCAGAAACAATTTTAAACAAATAAATAAAAAGTTATTTTAATTTTTTTAAAAAGTACAAAATTGTTCACTTTGCAAACCTAGGAGTTCAAAGTGGTCAGCCCATGTCCACTTTGACCACCGGTTTAAAATGTCTATTATAATTCACTATTTTATAATATTATCATAAATATATATACCTAATGTAACTTATATTTTATTCTCACAACAAATTTTCTTTGATAAATAAGTAACTTCATTTCAAGCTTTGTGTTTCTTATTAATGTTTTTATAATTAATTAACACATTAATCAAACTTGGTATTTTTTTGATGAATAACAAAGCTATTTTATAAAATAAACATATCAACTTATTAATTATATCTTTCTTATCTAAACTATAGCTTTTAAATAATAATAAATACATAAATCATAGCAACAAAAACAATTTTATAAACAACAACTTTATGTTTTTAATTATGTCATATTTTTAAAATGAATTAACAAATTAATCAGACTTAGTACCTTCTTGGTAGTAACATTAACAATTTTATAAACAACAACTTATTTTTCTGTTAGGTTATATTTTTAAAACTAATTAACAATTAATCAGACTTCGCACCTTCTTGGTAGCATTAACAATATTTTATAAACAACAACTTAAGTTTCTTATTAGATAATATTTTTAAAATTAATTCAGGTACAAATTTATTAATCAGACTTAGTACTTTTATGGTAGGTAACAAAACAAAATAAAATACACATAGGTAACTTAATAAGCGTTTGATAATGTTTTACAAAAATCACAAATAAAACTGTCTTCTTCACATCCAGCACAACCGTCGTGACACCATTTCATGCATTTTAAAAATCTTACCCAGCCTTCATTAGATTTTGATTGAGAAAATGTTCCACCACAATATGGACATTCAGCATCACTATCTTCATAAACAGTATTTGGAGGGATTTTAGACTTGTTTTGATTTTTTTTTCGTTTCCATGTTGGTTTTTTTTTATTAAATAAACGTTTTTTAGGTGGGGTTACGGCTTTGGAAGCTTCTAGTTCTGTTTTATATGGACTAGATGTTAAAACAGCAGCTGTGCCTTTTTTTCTGTTAGTTGACCGTGATTTAATACTTGTTTTAGGTATAGGAATTAAATGTACTGGACTAACAGTAAACGATGAGCTAGGTTGGGTTCGGACATGCATGGAGGGCAGACGGACAGTTAATTTAAAATGTACTTATAAATAAAATAAATAAAACGAGACCCCTAGGACGAAACAAAACCCGATGGATTGACGTAGTTTCCAAAGATATAGTAATAATAGACCAGGACGCAACTTTAGAAACAGCATATCAGAGAGAGAGGTGTAGAGAAATTTTGATGGCAGCGATGGTCCTGAATGGACCGCTAAGCTGAAGAAGAAGAAGAAAGTATCAATAGTAGGTAACTTACTATTAAGTATACTTACTTATTACTTATAATAAATTAATACCACTTTTTTTTATACTTTTTATACTTTAGATATATTATTAATTAGTATTTATATGCACTAAAATAAAAATTTACCTTCTTCTATTGATCTGATGTTTTAGATGGTCCAATTTCATTTAAAGTAGATGTCAATTCTGACCACTCCAACTCATTTAATCGTTTTCCATTATGTGGGTCCTGAAATTTTCCGGCAGCAAATTGCCTGTGCTCTTCCATGTATTAAATAAGCACAGATAATTGGTCGGATACTCGTTTTTTTTTTCTTTTCCACACTATTACAAATACATTAGCTATTAATAAGGTGGGCGACTACCTAACAGTAGCGCTTGTTATTAAAGGAATATATTTTACATATTAGATATTATTAATACAACATTAGATGGTTGAATTAATTTATGCCAAAAAAAATACATTTGAAAATGTCATTATGTGAGTATACAATTTAATAATATAGGTACTTTAAATTTCAAACGTATGAATATTTAATATTTTTCAACTGCTTTAATTACAACTCATGAGAAATCTTGTATTAAATTTCCAAGCATTTTGACCAAATCAAAATTATTTTATTATTTAGTAAACGAAAAAACATTTTGGTTACCACTGTCTATATTAATATGAAAAAAAACAACAAAATGTATTCCAGTTAAAAGTGGAGGAAACTCCATATTCTAAATTAAATATACACCATAATCTCGCCGATGAAGTTAAGTTATAATCGATAATTGCGCTGAATGTACGGATACAATATACGTAACATTATACTTCAGAAGACACTACATTTCCTCCTAAGCTTTGGGCATGTAACTCTTCAAATCTCAGGTTATAACTACAAATACATACGAATTAACATGCGAATATTACACTCTCGCTTTAATAAAAATATTATTTGAAATGAATATTATTTTCCATATTTAAGTCGACATTTATGTTGAAATTAATAGTGCACATTATTGAAAATTTCGAAAGAATACAAGCCACACGAAAATAATTAATCAAAAATTACGAAATACAAATCTGCACGACTGCACGACTCACACACGATAAAGAAATTTATAAAACCTATGTGCCATCATAACTTTGACAAATAATTTGATTTTTATTATTATGCTATTTTTTTTTTTAATACACCTTAATATACTTAATTGAGATTTGTTAATAAATTATTCAATTGCACCAGTATTTGTTAAATATATGATACGAGACAATTTAGAAATTACTAAAAAAACATAAATGGAGTGAATAAAAGTTAGAACTGCCTTCATTGGTTCAAAATATGGCTCGAACCATGTGTGTGCAGTTAAATCTGTTTGATTCGTACACAATGAATGTATGAGGTCAAGTTGTAATTTTAGCTTCAGCAAAATATATCTTTCGCAGAATAAATTTTGAATAAAATACATATTTTTGGTTCTGAGTCTTCATACAGTATACAACAGATATATTTGTCTGGTCGGGTTATGACGTGGGATGATAATACCTCAACTCGGCCCTTACTGGGACAGTATTGACAATTACTGTAGTTTTTGGTTGGAAGACGAACTGCAAGTCATTTGCAGGGGAAAATATAATGAGTTACCTGGTGATTTTTTAGCTTTTCATTTGTAAATACTTAAAGTTCATACAATTTTTCAACCATGGTCAAATCTTTTACTCTTGTCACGCAACGGGAAGTTTGAACAGATGACTCTCATGTCATATGATATAATATGAGTGCACTCTGGGCAATATTTTCTAGGATAATGAATATAGCCATAATACTTTAGTACAATACCTATACATTTTATAATGACATATCAGTTTATTATATCATGGTTGACGCATAAAAATGACCGAGCTCTTCGATTTCGTACCCAAATTTCTCCCAATCTAAAATATAATTGCAGCAACGACGGTGGCGGCGGCCAGAGTTGACGGTGGCCAAGGTAAGGGCAGATTTAGTGGTGGGAATGCGTGAGATCGGACGAGTTTTGAGCGCCACCCAGTAGCGCTTTCTCAATGGAACGAGTGTAATAGTTTTATACCTACCACTGATTAATACGAGTATATGTAAATGATTGTTGAGAGGGCCCAACAATATTGTAGGCACCCCACGAAATTCAGGTCTGCGAACGCCTATGGTTAAAAACTTCATTCTATACTGTATTGCTTCAGTCCAACATATTAAAAAAAAAATAACAGTCAAGTGATTAAAAGAGATAAAAGTATAGCATTAGTTTTGGTTTTATATATATTTGTTGGTGTCTTCCAAAGCAAAATGATTTTTAAATCCAATTTTTTTGAACCGAGGATCCAAAAATGTAGCCTCAGCTAACAACATATGTTTTTTTTAATTGACCAAATCTCTTATTTGTTTCATCGGTTAATTTATGAAAAACAGCTTTATACGTGGGTTTGCCTGATGTTGGGTCATTAGGTTGTTACAAAAGTTAATTAATACCTGGCTAAATAAAATAGTTTTAGATATTGTTACTCTTTTTTCACTACTCATTTCAAGATTTATTTCTTTAAATCGTTTCAGAATATCGCAAGATTTACTTATTATATGCCAATCCTCCGAAGTTAAACTTACATCATAATTAAGATCTGCTAAGGAAGACAGTATTGGAGTTTTTAATTCAAAGAACTGTTGGAATATATAAAACATATAATTCCAACTGACTGCGTCTTGTATGAGTGTGTGAACTGGAGAGTAACCTACTTAACTGTTCCTGAATTTGGTTCTATTTTTTAGTGGCAAGTGTACTTCTTTTAAAGTACTTTTAACTTTGATATTAGTTACTTTTATTTGTTCCAGAGAAGATTGAACAATAAGATTTAGGTATGGGCAAAGTATGAAATATGTCTCCACTGACATAGGTAGCGAATCGCTGAAGTTATGTTTGTAGTATTGTCAGTAGTACACAATGCTATTTTATTTTGCAAACCCCAATACCTTATAATATTTTTAAGATAGTCTTTAATATTTGCACTTGTGTGTCTCATTGGAAATTTTTCACATGAAAGTAAATATGATGTTAATTCACAGTTCTGATCTATGAAGTGTCCACGCATCTGTACTTAAAGCAATATACTGTGCATTAACTTCTTTATCTGGATTGAAATATTTTTGTATATTTGATTATAAAGAACAGACAATAATGATGTTGAAAGGGTTTTCCTAGATGGAAGAGAATAACCAGGCTTTAACATATATACCAGCTTTATAAATACGAGATATTTCCAGTAGAGAACGAGTATCTGTGTGCTTTCACATCCTAGACAATCATTTAAATATATCAGAACATTTCTTAAGATTTTTTGAAACTCCTTTTACATTATTTAATTTGTTAATATCCGTTTTATCACAATTTGACATTGATATTTCCAAATTTCGTGGACAATGCCATGACGGGGCAGCCACTGTTAGTGGACATATCAGTGGTTTACAAAGGAGAATAATGGATGTTGAACCTAGAGCAACTTTTGTTCATTGTAATGCTCACACATTAAATCTTGAAGAGCAAGATACAATGTGATTTGGTTTTCGCCCAAAGAAATATGAATCATAGTAAACAAAAAAAACATTTTGGTTACCACTGTTATTGTATACCACATATGGCACAACATGCATACAATCTAATATCACTATTTTTTTTTTATACTTTTATTTAGTTTCAAAAATGAAAATTTTAACATCTTATCATCAACTTCGCAACTTTAAAGAAAGTCCAGATGGAAGTTCTGATTCTGAACTATCGGACGATGATGAACCTAATTCACCATCTAAAGAAACCTTGGTTGCAGAATCTGATAGATATAGCGATTGTTCAGCTGATGGAAATGATTTGCTAGTAATCCCTTCTTCAGATGAAGAAATATTTTCTGAGGATGCAGATAATATACCTTTGGCAGTAAGAATTGAACGTTTAAATAAAAAAAAAAAAAATCTATAAAACCTAAATGGTTAGAAGACAAACTATCTATAGAAGAAGAACAATTAAAGTTTAAAGGATCTTTAGATTTACCAACACATGTATCTAGTTTGGCGTCACCCTATGAATTTTTCAACTATTTATTTCCTAAATCAATAATCACATACATTACACAACAGTCAAACTTATATGCATCTCAAATCAGACCTAATAATTTGCCGAATATATCAAAAAGAGAAATTGAACATTTTATTGGCATACTGTTAAAAATGTCAATTTAAAAATTGCCTTCAATAAGACACCCCGTACTTGGTCATCCAATGATTTACAACGTAATGACAGTCAACAGATTCGAAGAGATAAAGCGTTTTATGCATTTCAATGACAACACTACGAATACACCAGAAACTTATGATATACTTTTTAAAGTGAAACCTTTACTGGACCTAGTAAGAAATATATTGATAACCATTCCAAAAGAAGAATATTTAGCAGTAGATGATCAGATTATTCTAACAAAATGAAAACTTCATTGAAACAATATAACCCTAAAAAGCCACATAAGTGGGGTTATAAAGTATTTGTTTTGAGTGGAGTTTCAGGTTTTAGCTACGATTTTGATATATTTGCAGGAGAACAAACAAATAAGATGCCTGATAACTGCAAATCTCTTACTACAAGCAGCAATATGGTAATAAAAATTGCTTATACTATTCCTCGACAAAAAAATTTTAAATTATTCTTTGATGATTGGTTCACAAGTTTGCAACTTATGGTATATTTGGATAAAGAAGGTATATTTCCTTTAGGAACAGCTCGCTTAAATTGTATAACAGGACTGATAATGCCAACTGTGAAAGAGTTTAAAAAACAAGGAAGAGGTACAATGTGTGAAAAAACGACTACAAGTGTCAATGTTAAAATATATGCAGTGTCGTGGTTTGACAACAAAGTAGTCACAATGGTATCAACCTATGTTAGAAGTCAACCCACTGTAATGCAAAAACGGTTCTTCAGGTCATTAAAAATTAAGAAAATGGTACCTACCATGTCCAAAGGCAGTTGATGTATACAATACATATATGGGTGGAGTGGACTTACTTGATTCTATGTTAGGATATTATAGAATATCAATAAAATCAAGAAAGATATTCTATCATATGATTGATTTATGTGTGGTAAACGCCTGGCTTTTGTACCGTAGAGTTCACCCAGATACTTATATACCATTGGTGGATTTCAAACTATTAATATCAGAGGTTCTGTGTGAGGTTTTAAGACAAAGTTCATGAATAAAAGGTCGTCCATTATTAACAGAAAATACAACTGAATCTTTGTACAATACTAAAAAGAGAAAAAGAGGACCTTGCAGTGAACTACCAGCAGAAGAGTTAAGACTTGATGGGATGGACCCCCTTCCAATGCAACTAACAAGCCGTTCTCGTTGTAAGTATCCGACTTACAATTCTAAAACGATTGCAAAGGGGCATGTATTAAATGTACATTACCATTATGTTTCAATGGAGAAAGAAACTATTTTCTATTGTTTCATACACAGTGATACAATATGTAAAATGTAGTATATTATTTTATAGCATTTGATTGAAAAAAGGATATAAGACTGTTTTATTACTAAGTATTATTTATTTTATTTTTATTATTTGTTATATTCATATTTTAATCCATAACAAGAGGATATTGTTATTATATTATATTATATTTTAAATAATAAGACAATTTGTACACTGAACATTTAATTTGTGATATAAAAAAAAACATAAGACTGTTTTAAAGTAGGTACTTAGGTACTCACTTATTTTCTTTATTAAATTTACATTCATAATTAAAACAAGAGGATATTGTTATTACATATTATTATATTTCAATGTTAAAATACTGGAAATGTTATTTGTTATGTTAAAGAAACGTAAGACTGTTCTTATAAATTAAATGTGTTAGTTATTTTTATTGAATAAATTTGAAAATGCATATATGTCACTTGGACAGTTGAAAGAGTACCTATCAATAATTACAAAAACATATTTTGGGTGCATGTTTCCAAGATGGCATAAATAAAAATTGTAATGTTAAATGCATAAAGGCCGAATATGGCACAAACGTACTATTGGTGCGCGTTGTGCCATATTTGGCACAAACTAAACTATAGTCAACTTTTAGGGGAAGTTTAACTTGAATATTTTTTTAAAAATTTTTCCCATTATCCTCATGTATTTTTACATAAGTACATTTTTTTTCGGAAAAAAATATTAATTCATGCATGAAGGGGATATAATAATGCAGCTGGTGTATGGACTCAGGAGAATAGCGATTTTTGATTCGGAACGTACTAGGGAAAAATTAGAAATGGATTAGACGTAAGTAGGTATAATAATTAATAACCATTCTAACATATTTAGATTTCGACTTCGACACTTCTCGTTTTATTCTACACAGAATAAAAAATCAGGTGTAAATATTTATTAAAAATTAATTAACAAATAAATAATATTTTCCGTCAATTAGCTCTGTACCTACACACCGACCGACCTGTGTTGTATGTGTGTATATTTTATGTATAGCACTCAACAGGAAGTGGACAGGTTCGCCGAGCAAATCCTGTGAGTGCTAGAGTGTGGGTAAATGTGTGAATGTTTGTGTGAGTGTGTAGTCTTACAATTAACTACCTAACAATAAAATGGTAACACGTTTTAGATAAATAAGTTGCTGTTTAATACACTATATCAATCGAACTTACAAATATATAAGAGATCACAGCAACAAATTATAGGTTTTTTAAAATATAATATAGTATAATAACTCACAGTTTGTGGAGAGCAGACTGGCCAGTTGGTCCTAGCTATATAATAATATAAAGGTTCATACACACACACAAAATAGAAATGTATAACAATAATAATAATAATACGCGACATACACACTATGTCGGAACAACAATAAAGGGTGGCGATTCGCGCCTGTGCAGGTAATATAAAAGTAATACGACGTAATATAAAGATATACAACTGTGGCGATTCGCGTCCACAAAAATTATATAATATACATGGCGATTCGGGCCCGCAGACAATAAGATATTAGTGGCGATTCGAGCCCACGACAGAGTACAATTATATAAAAATGGGCGATTCGCGCTTACAACAATTTAGAAAAAGGAACGGCGATTTGCGCACATAATAATGTGTGCATTTTGATTGCACTCAGACACTGGACTGGTCACATTTTCAAATAATAATACACGCGCGGCCGGCGATAATTTACATATTATATAATAATTCACAGCTGATACGGAAAATTAAAACAGAAATAAAAACAATAATATAAATATATAAGAACAAATAGGTAACAGGTATGTGATATGCGTGTGTGTGTGTGTGTGAGCCGGTCGGTGGCGAGATATCTGGTGACACGACGGAGACACACATTAAGGTACATAAGTTGTATTACTATTATAATACTCATGGCTAAATAACTAGGTATGATCACATAATTACCAAATTTGGTTCAATGTGCGCATTCATGGAAAAAAAAGCTAATTTATCATTCTTTCCATTGAATTATGACGTCAACCGGCAGTAAATTTTTAGGGCACTGCCAGCCGTTTTGGCGGGTTCGGTCTCCGTTTAAAACAGGTGTCACAGGACCACAGGCGCAAATAACGTTTGGAATTTTGGGGGGGAAGCCTAGCTTACTTTGATAATATTGAATAAGCTTAAAACTAAATGTAGGAAATGCTTGGGGGGGCTATGTACATTTTTGGGAGGGCTTAGCCCCTAAAGCCCCCCCTATTTGCGCCTAGGCATATGACGTATTCACATCATAATATCGATAGTGTATTCCTTGACTTAATATTAGCTTAATAGGTTGTTCATATTGTATTATTATGTATCTAATTTCTAATTTAATATATATGTATATATAATTTATATAATATTATGTACTAATTAGCAATTATTCATATCAATAAACAAAGTAACAATTTGTAAGTCATTATTGTTCTTGCTTCCTTGGTCTTGTATTGTTGTGTATTTGAACCTTGCAGTCCTTGTAGTATTATTAATTTACAATGTCTTGGTGTACAGTAAAATACTGTAAAATAAATAAAAAAAAAAGAACCACAAAGATTTTAATGTACGGTTTCATAGATTCCCAAAAAATCCAGTTTTTGAGAATAAATGGATTTTAGCATGTGGCAAATCAAGTGTGAATGCAAAGTCTGGTAAATAATACATATTGTTAACTATTTATTGTTTATAGTTTATAATGTGTATACAAATATATACATTTTCTGCTTTTATAAATAGTAAGAAAATAATTGAAAAAAAAAGGAATATTGTCAAGGCTAAACCATAATTTTATTGCTCCTAAATTCTAGCTAGAATCTGTTCAACTCATTTTGAGGAGAACTGTTATGTAAAACCTTTAATTGAAAAATTGTTAGAATATTCTCCCCGTCACAAACGAAAATTAAAACCAGATGCGATTCCAACAATTAATGTACATGGTCCAAATCCAAAAATCAAAAATCTTGATTTCAAAGTTCAATCAGATGCTGGTAAATTAAATTTTTTTTTTTAAATTAAGAATTTTTTATTTTAGAATACCTATATTTGTTTATAGAAATTTGTGATGACAGTTTAAAGGACCCAAAACTTACTGAGATTGGAACTCTATTCGATTCTGGTAAAATTGTAATTATTTTAATTAAGTATTTTTTTATTTTGGAAGCAAATTTTTTTTATAGAAATTTATGAAGACCAAGACCTTTTAGATGATAGTGGGTAAGTACTAAATTATAAATATTCACATAAAATAATTTTTAATGAATTATATTCTAGCCCTAATGCCAAACAAAATTAAATAAACTAATTAAACAATATTATTCTGTTTAAGATACAATTGTGGGTTGAATTCATCTAATAAAAATAATGTCAGTGTTACAAAAATTATGACATTGAGAATATTGAAATTATTCCTTCAGAAATAATGACCAAGTAAAATAATAG